TCGTAGTCGTACTCGTCGTAGTCGTAGTAGTAGTAGTAGTAGTAGTAGTAGTAGTACCAATACCAGTACCACTAGTAGCAGCACTAGTAGTAGTGCGACTAGTCGCAGAAATGCTCGAAACAACAGTTTTGAGCTATTCTTGAGCTATGGGTCTTTAAGCTGGGGGTATCGTTTTTGGGTTTCCCCTATCGTTTTACAATGTTTCGTAGCATCCACCTGAGCAAGGGCCTCCCCTAGACTAGTTTACTGTTCGGAGACGTTTGACTTTCCCTCAATTCGGGTTCTACAGGCTTCCTGGCGCGGTACAGCGTCCAAGTTGTGATCCGTGCAAGGCGCTCAGGCTGTCGGCTGATCGCCAAGGCTCTCTTGCCGCAACATTGTCCGAGGGGTCAAGTGCAGCCGCGGGATCTTCTGAACCTCCTGTTGCGCAATCATGCTGCGGAACAAGTAAACAGCAAGGCTGACGTCTTGCCAAGTGGTGACCCTCTTTACTGGCAAAGTCCTGGTGCTCCCTGGCTGATCCAGGGCTCGCAGCTTTGGCAGAGGCACCAGAGATGGATGGATTTACGAGGCACTTCTCCGACAGAGAGGTCGTCACAGACAGGGCTGAGCCCTCAGCATTTTCTATGTGGCCCTGTTGAGGGCGATATGGGCTGGTAACGGACAGCTGCACGGCGGAGCCCTGCCAGGCAGAACGTGGCTCTTCCTGTGATGGGACGTCCCGGATAAGCTGCTGCAGGCGCTCCAACTCCAGGTGAAGCCTCCTCTCCATGTCCGCCCGGCTCTGCTGTTCCCTTGCAAGCTGCAGCTCAAGTTGAGCCACGCGAGCTCCCAAGGTTGCCAAGCTCTCTTCGCCTTCAACGGGCTTAGAGGGGATCGGCTTGGGCCCCGGAGCCTTCTGTAGCAGAGTTGGTCCTGCTGGGGCTGCATTGCTCTCCTGTAGCCTTGGAGTGCTCATGCCTGCGTGGTAGGAGTGCCTAAGATTCCGCGATGGGCCAGACTCGATGCCCGGCTCTCCCATCAGGCCCGTCACGAAAGCCTCGCGAAACTTGTTCAAGGCAGCTGAGAGCAGAAGCAAGTGTGGGGCCACCGAGCCTTGAGGCTCACAAGCCCGGAGCTGTTCGGGTCCATGCTCCTGAAGACGGCCGCTACGTCTGCTCGGAAGCCGAGCTTTCGTAGGCCGATCTCAAACTCCTCGCCTGGTCGCGTCAGCTTCTCGGCTTGCAACACAGCTCAGCTTGAAGCTGCTTGAATTCTTGCCGCCCGAGCTGAAAAAAAGGGCCAAGGCGGCCAAGGAACGCTTCAGCTGGCCAGTGTCAGAGGAGTCCTTGGCGTGCGTCCAAAAACGAAGCGAACCCCGTCCCGTGCGTGAGCTCAAACCGGAGCCGGACCGGAGCCACGCAGTTTCAAGGGGCCATGGGACTGGACTTTTCAGGCAAGCAGCCAGCGCCGCAAATGCGGCCTGCAGGTCTCTGGGCTTCGGTATAGCAATTATAGCACATCACAAATTTCAACTGAAACCGATTCAGGGCTTCAGGGCGCCTTCAGGCTGCCGCAACGCTGCCTGCGCTCAGGGCCAGGAAGTCTGGACCGTGAAAAAAAGGCAGCGGCCAGTCTGCTACACGATGCCCAAAACTCCAGATGGATCCAGCAACGCTGCCGAGGCTCCGTAAGAAGCAACGGAGTTGAAGGACATCGGCCTTGGCTTTCTTTTCAATACACGACAGAACAGCCCTCTCCTCCGTTCAGTGCCAATTGGCACTACATCGATACTATAGTCACAACTGACAGTGATAGTGCCGTTTCGCATCAAGGACTATAGAAGCTGGCGACTATGGGCATGACGATTCTCGCTAGATCTGATGCTGCGGTTGCTGCGGTTGCATGGGATGTAGTCTTCCAAGGCTTCGGCCCTTGCAGCCTCCGGCATCGCCGCCGACGGAGCGAGCGAGTCTCCGGATAAGCACGGAATGCGCCACGGCAACTCGGTTGCTCTGTCTATCTTGGTGTTTGTCTAACCTCTTACCGGTTTTCATGAAGGCGTGCTGCAGTGCATGACACGACTGCATTTGGCATGTCTGTTGCAGCTGCCCGAGAAGTTTCGCTGGTTTTGCACGACACTACACTGTATAGCTTCGCTGGTTGAGCTGCCCTTGCTTTGTGCCGCGAGACTGCGGGAGCCATGGTCCTTGCAGACCCTTGCAGACACTCTTCAAGCCGTCTTCCCCGATTCACATTCCTCTCTGGTGTGGTCCTGTGAGAGCCTTCCAGTGATCCAGGGCTGGCCTCGGGGCAAGGCAGCTTAGCAAAGCAGGGAGACGGCCACATCGCTCAGATGCAAACTGCCAAACGGAGTGTGGCGGGAAGAGCTCCTGGAAGTGAGAGCCTGACTCAGAAAGAGTGCTGCCAGGACCCCGGGACCCCCATTGAGAGACGCCCAGCCTGCAGTCTGAAGATCTGCATCTTGGCTGCCAAAAGCCTACCATGTGGCTTCGCAGCTTAGGAACCGCTCAACAGGCGGCTGCTGTCGTTGCGGATTATCCCTGGATCCCTTCAGCAGCCTGCACCGCTGTCGAAACGATCGCGGACGCCTACCGGTGCACGAGTCCAAGTCGGCTGCCAACTGGGCACTTTGACCACCTGGCTCATGTTGTACCCGCTCGCAAGGAAATAGTTCAGCAATCGCACCGCCTTGCAGAAAGCATCCGCTAGAACTGAAGTGGACACAGGTCGATTCAGATCTCAGGCACAAGCTGCGCTTGTCAGGTCTGCGTCAAGAGCCGAAGTGGCACCGGCAACCGCCGCAGCAGCCTCCTCTGTGCTGAGGTATGCCTCCAGCAACGGCCCGACCCGGGACACTTAGCAGCAAGAGCAACATACCTGAAACAACAGCAGCAGCAGCAGCAGCAATAGCAATAGCAACGGCGGCAGCAGCAACAACAAAAACAACAGCACCGGCGGCAGCGGCAGCAGCAGCAGCAGCAGCAGCAGCAGCAGCAGCAAAGACAACAAACATTGCAACCACAACCACAAATGCAAATACAATCACAGCGGCAAACCAACAGCGCAAACAGCAACAGCGTCGATGATGATAATATGGCGCAAAGCACCACCGGCACAGGTAGCATCCATCACCATCATCATCATCATCATCATCATCATCATCGTCATCCTCACTATCAGTTCATCATCTCAGCATTAGTTGCGACAAGCACTACGGCCATTGTGAAGCATCTGGCAACACTGCCGTTGGTGAGTTAGGGTTCGGCATGAAGTCACTGCAGTTGCAGTAACAGCTAGACACGGAAAGCATCAACAACAGCACTTATACCTTCATCATCATCAACAACCACCACAACGACGACGAAGACCACCAACACCACCACCACCACTACCACCACCACCACCACCACCACCACCACAACAACAACAACAACAACAACAGCAACGACGGCATGAAAGAGAAAAGGGACAAGAACAAGAAGGAGAACGAGAAGGATAACAAGAACAACAGCAGAACAACAGCAACCACGAGGACAACAGCAACGACGACGACGGCGGCAATGAAATCTGCAACATCAACACCAGCAGCAGCAGCAGCAACGACAAGAACAAGAATAACAGCAGCAGAAACAGCAACCACCCGGACGATAAAAACCACGGTGACGACTACAGCAACGAAAAACTGCAACCTCAACTGTTGCTGCCGCTCCTAATACTGGTTACTAGTTTCTGCTAATAGTACTGCTATTGCTACACGGCCACTGTTATTGTCGCTGCCACTGCCGCACCACTGCTGCTGCTGCTGCTATTGCCGCTGCGAGAACTACGAATATTAAAGACATACCACGACTACGACAACGAGGACGACAGACGACTACGGACGACGACGGTTACTTCCTCCTGTTACTTGCTTACTTACTTACTTACTTACTTACTTACTTACTTATAGTACGACTAGTACTAGTAGTAGTAGTACTAGTAGTAGTAGTAGTAGTAGTAGTAGTACTACTACTACTACTACTGCTACTGCTACTACTACTACTACTACTACTACTACTACTGGTACTTCTACTACTGGTACTTCTACTACTACTACTACTACTACCACTACTACTACTACTACTACTACTACTGGTACTGCTACTACTGGTACTGCTACTAGTACTTCTACTACTACTAATAATCATAATAATAATACCACTACTACTACTCCTACTACTACGACTACTACTACCACGACGACGACTACTACTACTACTACTACTACTACTACCACTACCAATGCTACTACTACTGCTAGCCATCCCCCCCAAGTTCAAAGCTTTGTGAGCTGGCCACTTTTATACGAAGGTGGGGTGAGTTTTCCTTTCTCCTCCTGCGTAACGACACTCTCCGAACCTTCGAATCGGCCAGCCTCTGCAGGAACTTCGTCTCTCGCAGGGAAGGCATTCTTGCCAAAAGGTGCTACATTTTGTCTTATCTTTGGCTTTCTTCTTGGTGTTTCGGGTTTTGTGGGCCGTTGTGTTGAGGATCTTGACTACCAGGGTCCTCTTGATCCAGCGTTTTCGTACTATCCGACCACCTGTGCTTTAGCAGGGACGAAGAGTTTGCAACCCCAACTGCTGTCGCAGTTTTGGGGCCTGTGCCTCTGCAATTTCACCGGCTGTGACAGTTAAGGCAAGCGAGCCNNTGCATCTTCTGCAGCTGCCGCAGTTGGGGAGCCTAGAAGCTGCCACTGCCCAGCCCGGATCTCGAGCTACTGTCACAGGTTTCGCCGGCAGTCTTGACACACTTCGAAAGAGCGCATCTCGTACGCACCGTGGTGTTGACATGAGCAGCTGGAGGTTGCCGTTCTTGACGTAGATCTCGAGTGCGGGCAGTCATCTCCTCGAGCTGACGAAGTATACCTAGGTTCCCATCGTCCAGCTGTCGTCTCCACTCACGCAAGCTGTCACCTCATTGTCTCTCTGATGCACCATGTTGTACAATTGTCTGATCTCCTCCCTCTGGTCCATGACCGTGGTCTGCGTTCATCTGGAGCATGTCGTCGAGGTAGAGGACGTAGCGATTGTTCCATGACATAGTCCACATGACGAGGTAGTAGAGGCCGAAAATCGCGAGGTTGATGAGGAGGATGATTACGACCGCATACGGTTGCGTCTTCCCCATAAGAATGTCCACATGCGTCAGGATCACGATGTACCCCCTTTGCGATGAGTGATCACTCCTTGTGCCAAAGGCTGCATCGCTAAAGGCAGCAAAGCATGCACTCTCTTCCCAGGAGGCTGCCGTCTTCCCAAACGTCAGCTTCATGTCCACATTGGACTTGGCAAAGCGAAGGGCCTTGTTCACTTCCTGAGCTAGCGCCACCGTCGCCTTAGTAACATCTGCAGCCAGAAGGCTCATCGTAGCACTGAGGGCTGGGACACCCTGGCCCGCAGGCCACTGCAAGGCACCGAGAAAACCACCAAATCGAGTTATGTCCTTAGGTCCAAGGGGGTCAATGGTGAGAGGCTGCGCCTTACGCAGTCGAGAACAATGCCAGATGCCGTGATGCTCAGCTTGCCACCACAGTAGATCATAGGGTTGTCCTTGGACACCTGGTGCCACTTGCCGAAATCAAAGCTTTTTCGCAACCTGCGATTGCATCTCGGAAAGCTTGAGAGGCTGCCAACCCAGCTAGTAGCAGGTCATCCACATGAAGAACTATCATCGCTACCAATTCCTTTTTGTCATAGTACATGTACAGGCAGCGACCCAAAAGATGTCTCTTCCAGAAGTTGCTCTTCGGGCGTCTATCCGCCTCCTGCCACCATAGCAGTGGAGCATCAGCCAGCAAGTGCATGAACTTGGCATGAACGCAGGTTCATGGCCCGTCCCGAGGAGGGGGGCCACAATCACTCGGCAATCTCACCACAACGCGGCAGCTGAAGATGGCACCACTCAGTCTCGCACCGGCAATGGCAAGGAGAATGAACTGGCCCTGACGCCCAGCTGTGGGCGCGGCCTTATCCAGGGGACAATACAGGGGGTCGGGGGTCCTGATAACCTCGAAGTACCAACCTTGCTTTGGCCTTCGGTGACGGAAGGCCTTCCGTCTTCCATGTCAGCACCCATCGTGCCATGACGACTCGTGCATCCTCTGGATCCCTCTCGAATTTCCGTCAACTCATCTCGGCCATCATCATCTTCTCCATCTCCTCCAAGGACACGCCCTTCACGCGAGCCTCCTGTCTTGCCACAACAATCCACCGTCCACCCGTCTGGCAGACCATCACCCGTTGCGTCAACAATGCGCACATCCACAGACAAATCGTTGGTATACATTCAGCCACCGGTGGCTTCCGATCGCGGATTTGCACCGCTGGCTTCAAGAGGGCTTCACGAGGTACAGACATTTGGCTGCTTGAGGCAGCCACACCTGGGGGAAGAGAAGCGAGCTGAGCCTCGGGATCAGGCTCATTGACCGAGGAAAAGAGGAGAGACCCGTAAGCTGACGATACGCAAGAGCGACAGGGACGGGTGGGAGGGACGTCCTGGCAGGCGTGGCCGCACCATCAGGGGAGGGCGCAGAACTGAGCTGATCTTCGACATCCGGGAGCCCACCAGCTTCGTGCAGCATGCCACGGAAATGTGTAGCGCTGTGCACCTTAAGGGACTGAAGCGCCTCCCGTTGCTGCGCAGCGGCAAAGCGACCGACATCATCGTCCTCATCTGGAGCTGCGGGATTGAAAACCTCCCCCGAGACTGAAGTTGCTCGCCGCGGCTAGCCACACTTTTGCCAAGCGCCCACTGCACAGGACTGAAACCCTTGACATTGCTGAGGCCGTTGATTTGTCCCGGCACATAAACGCTTGCCTCCACCATCACCTTTTTGGAGCGGTCGCCAGCCTCGTCCACGTAGAAGCTCGCGCGCAAGTTTTAACGACTTGGTGCTTCCTTTCCACGGCCTCATCAACACACAAAATCTGAGGAGCGCCAAAGTGCTTGATCCAGCCCCGCTCGATCCCGTTTATCAGGTCCTTGGACTGCTCAGATGCCAGCACACGAAGAGCAATGTAACGTGTAGCATGATCCATGACAAACTCGCCCTTCATCTGTGTTCACCCACGCGCTGTCAACTAGCAGTCGTTCTCCAAGGTGGCGAGCTTCCAGACCTGACGTAGGGGGCACTGGGGCGGGTCTCTTCCTCGTAAAGCACGTTGGGCACACATACTCTCGCTCTGCCGTGAGTACATCTTGGGTGGCTTATGGTTGCTTGCACTTCCTCGAGCATCTTAGCCAGGACTTCCGGGGAAGGGTGGCCCAGATTCTTATGGAGACGGCTGACATAGTTCATCGCTCTTGATCCGACCATTTTGCGCACCTCGCGGTTGACCTCTGGCTCAGCCGGCGGAGTATCCATCGCAGCTGGTGGCTCAGATGCAGCAGGAGGCTGTGGCTGAGATTGCGATGGCCCCGTCAAAGCTCTCTTGGAGCAGGGGCATCGGCATCTGCGGCATCTCCACGAAAGACTTCCTGCTCAGCATCACGAACCATGGCGTAGAGTGGGTCATCACCGACAGCAGCAAGCTGCCGGATCATCATCACCCTCTGGCCGCGCCATAAGCTCAGTCAGCTTCTCAGCCATCGCAGCGGGGTAGCCCTCGACACGCTTGGTATCAGGGAGGTGCACACGTTGATGATTCCTTCCAAGCTCATCAACCATGGCACGCTTAGTTGACATCACGAACGTTGGCTTTCTGACGGGCAGCACACGGCTTTTGTTCTCCACGCGCGGCTTTCCCAGGGATGTACCAGGTGAGCATGGCGACCATTCTTTCGTTGGATTTCGTAGACAACCGCACAGAACATCAGCACCTCGTCATGGTTCCGCCTACCTCTCCTCCGCGCTTGGTCGCTTGATGAACTTCCTGCGGTCCTTTGGCCGGTGAAAGTCCCAGCCTTCATGTTTTGAGAAACGCTCAGCATGTATTTTCGGCATCTTTTCAAGCTCTGTGTTGTGCGTCTATTGCCAGCAAAAACTGCCCAAACAATGCGTCCATCGGCTTCAGGGAGGTGACCTGCTCGGGACAAAATTTCACGCAGATCCTTCTTGGCTTTCGCTGCGCGCGCGATCATGCCATGCATCTTCCCTTTTGGGACGCAACGTACGCGGCTTCACTAAACGGGCCTCGGCAATCAAAGTCGATTGCTGAGGTCTGGATGAACAGCTTGCTGTGGACGATCTGGGGTGGTCGTGCAAATCTCCAAGGTCACTGCCGGGATTATTTGCATCATCGTCCTCCAGGCAGTTACGCACATCTCCAATGTCATTGCCACAGCTGTTTGCACTATCAGACACAATCATTGCCCAAGTGGCTGGGCACCGTCGTAGCCTCCCAGACGCCTGGGTCCATCCCGTTCTCATTCTCAGGCGTCTGGTCCTCATCATCCGCTGCAAGCACATAGCATTCGTGAGCACCTGGATGCCCACGTTGGTCTCGACATTCACCTGTCCGCACAGTATCTCCTGCCACTCTCCGCCTGGCGCGCAGACGGCTGTTCTGATAGTCCACGGTGATGCCAAGGCGTTCCAGCAAGGGTCGCCCGAACAAAAGGGGGCAGCTGCCCTTCACGACATACGTCAGGATCTTACATCTTGCGTCCTCAGCACCTCCGGGAGCAACAGGCAGAATCGAGTCGCCAAACCCCTTCTTACACTGGTACACCTCGATCTCGTCCAGATTGTAACCCAGGTCAAAGAGGGAGCGCACGTATCTCTGGACATAGAGCATGCTACCAAGGACTGAGGCTGCCCCAATCTTGCACTGCTGTTGTGCACACCTGAGTGTCATCATCATCATCATCATCATCACCGTCATTGTCCATGGCGAGTACGGCAGCCTTCGTGTCCTCGGGGTTGTCGTAGATCGTCGCTTCAGAGACCATCATCACCACTTTTCGGCACCCTCAAGCTTTCACTTCTTATCTGCGGCCGCCGATGGGCAATCTCTTGCCCAATGGGCTGCAACACTACAGCAAATGCAAACTTGGAGGCCAACGTTGGCTGCACGACCACGAGCAGCAGCCTTCCCACCGGAACAAGGAGGCAGAGGTCCTGGTTTGCCCGTGTTGCCAAAACCCTTCTTGCCATGGCCTTTGCCTTTTCGTCCTGATGGTGGGGGCGAGGGATTACCAACCATAGCAACCACAGGGTAGAAGCCACGGGCAGTGCGAAGCTGGAGCTTCTGCTCGGCGTCTGTGTACGCCGCGTAGACGGTGTCAAACTCCTCCACATCGAAGATCTCCTCCTGCTCCTCATAGTCCTGGTCCTCGTAGAAGGCTTGGTCTGCACTCATCCAGGGTCCATCGTCCTCGGGCTCCTCGCAATACGCGATCCCAATCTGGTTGCCGCTCCTCGACATTCTCCTCACCGTTATTGCCGGCCTGGTAGTAGGTGACTCTTTCTTGGCATGCCACTTGGAGCCTCCATCTTTGAGTCCTGGCCCAAGATGAAATTCATGGCCTTCGACACTGACTCTGATGAGCTGCCTTTGCTCACATGACACACCACTCCTCCTCAGGAAAAGCCAAGCCCGCACCTTCTCAGGCATGGCCACGCCATGGGTGGCGGTGAGGCGACGCTCCACGCGCAAGTACTCTGCCAAGTACTCCTGAAGCGTCTGCTGAGGTCGACGGTGCATCTCTACAGAGTAGGCCTCAACGTCATCAGGAAGCTCTGTCAGAGGGGTCAAACTTGAATCCACGATCCAACCTCGCGAACAACTTCTTGAAGCCTGTCTCGCCTTGCATCTCGTCTAGCGACAAGTCCTCCACCAAGTCCCAAGCCTTTCCACTCTGTCTCCTTAGACTTGTTTGCCAACGCCATTTTCTTCATGTAAATCTTTGCTCTCTTTCTGAACTCCTTGTAGTCACGCTGCTGGTTGCTAAACACGGGAACATAACTGTCTGCCTTGCCAGTATAGGCGGAAGAAGTGCTTTCAGCTGTTCCAGCAGAGCCACCCATCGCTCACTTCACGGAATGTATCGGGGCGCCCTTTATCACAAACCCTGCGAGCCGTCGTAGCATCGGAGACGAAAGTCCTGCAAAGGTTGGCCGATTCGAAGGTTCACTACCACTACCACTACCACTACCACTACCACTACCACTACCACTACCACTACCACTACCACTACCACTACCACCACCACCACCACCACTACTACCACTACTACCGCTACTACTACTACCACCACTACCACCACTACTACTACTACTACTACTACTGCTGCTACTACTGCTACTTCTACTACTACTATACTACTACTATACTACTACTATATTACTACTACTACTACTACTACTACTACTACTACTACTCCTGCTACTACTACTACTACTACTGCTACTACTACTACTACTACTACTACTACTACTCTTGCTGCTCCTGCTGCTGCTGCTGCTGCGGCTACTGCTACTGATTACGACTACTGCGACTGCTGTTGCTACTCATGCTACCACCATTATTGCTGATACCAGCACCGCTACTGCTGCTACTTCCCCACCCTTGGCATCACCAGCTGCTTCATCAGTCCATCCGCCATGAACGTTCGTTAATGGTGAATAAACAATAAACCTCCCAAGCAACCCTCACAACCTCCGACGCAAAGAAGCGCAAGTGCGAAAGACTGTGAAGCTGAGGAGTTGGCCACACCTGCATTGTAATCCTCAGCTGCTCAGGTATTGTGCCAAGCTCACGGTTTTCGCTCAGGCAGCGGGTGGCAAGGTTACTACAATCAAGCGTTCATTATTACTAGACTATCGGCGGTGCTATTGATAGAGAAACCACTGCAGCGCATAATTGCGCTTTCAGCTCTGACCGGTGAGGGAGGACGCAGAACACACGTTCGAAATCAAAGAGGATCGATTCGGAAAGCAACCGAAACCAAGGAAAACCACTCCCAAAACAAAAGAGACCATTTCGGAAAACTTGGACGGAGACTTGCGAAAAATCTGGAGTGATTCCAGAAACAAGTTATGCATCCTGAGCCCTAGAAGAATCAGATACAATCCGGGAACAAGATCTGGGTTGGCGAACCCGAAACCTCGGAAGAAGAAAGTGAGAAACTGGGTGACAAGCCCAAAGCAGAAGATGCTGGATGGCGCACCCCAGACGCCAAAAGAAGATAGTGGGTGGCAAACCGCAAACCCGAAGTTGCTGGACCGCAAAACTCAAAACAGGACAGCGGGTGGCAACCCCCGGCGCAACCCTACAAGAAGATGCTGGCACGCAAACTCCAAACCCAAGAAGAATACGTTCCTCAAGCTGACAGAAGATTTTGGTTGGCAAACCCAATGCCCTGAAAGAGGGCAAACCCAAACCCGAAAAACACGATCGGGGATGGCAAACCGAAAACACAAAAAGGGTAACAAGACATTCGCCACTTCGGAGACTCAGTTCATGTTCGTCCAAGTTACAGTTTCCAGCTTGCGGATCTTGTCGTGGACCTCTTTGAGAGCGGCCTGAGCAGCCTGCAAGCGCAAGAAACAAGACAGCGAGTACTTGTGGGGGACAAGGCCAGGGTTTATAGTAGGAGTTTCTTTTACTTTGTTTTATTGTTTGGAGGTCCAGGGTCTTCTTACACATTAATTACGGAGTATCATGGAACACGACTGCAGCCGTTCAAACTTGCTCTGTTGTATAGGTTTGCCCTCTGTTCTGCGTGAAGATGGCGAAATCGTTACGAATCCTTACGCGCATCCTAGAATGGCAGTATCCAAGAAGCTCTGCGTCCATGGCATCAAAGCCAGGCCCGACCCCTGACACAGGCTCTGCATTCAAAACTCTGTACTCCCAAACTCCAAACTTGAAGTCCTACATCCACAACGAAAAATGGATGTGCAAGCTATAAATGCGAACTCGACTCCGTCCACACACGAAGCTGCCCCTTGCCATAATCTATGTGGGTATTCATGTATGGCAATGTCTGGTTGAATCCGTGCATGCATGAAGGTGGGTCTCTCTGTATCTCTCTCTCACATATGTAGAGAACGTTTACACACGTTCCAGAAGCAAATACACAACGAACAAACGAATTGCAACTAACACCTATACATATGTGTGTATACATATATATATATATATAGATACGTATACAGACAGGCGATCACACACACACAGATATGCATACAATGCAACGCATGATGTGAATAACTAGAGAACAGCAGGCTGCTGATAGCATACAAACATACGACATGGAAGTAAATACATATATACACACATACATATACATACATATTCATACACATACATACATAGACAGACATACATACATACCTACATACATACATACATACATACATACATACATACCATACCATACCATACCATACCATACCATACCATACCATACCATACATACCATACATCCAT